GGGCAGGGATCGGGAGGAGATGACACCGCAAGCCTCGAAAGGAGAAAATTGCATGATGCATGGCCATTCACGAGAGTGTGTCAGAGAGCTGTTTAGAGCGAGATTACAGTCTCAGAGGAGACTCTCATGCCTCTTGGTCACAGGGTTACTAAGATGATGCAGTTGTAACTTGTATGCGAGAGGTAGGAGGGATCTAAGCAATGGACAGAATGAAAAGCTGAATCAAACCTCCACAAACCATGCTCAGATTAACCCAGATTCCCTAGTCCCCAGCTTTGAGGGACTTGAAATCAGCCAAATTGCTTCCTTTCTCTTGAAAACGAGAAAAAATGTGAGGGACATGATAAAGTTTATACTTGGGCCACAAGTTTATGAGCAGCATTTTAGAATGAACAGAAACAAAGCTCCCCAAAATAAGAGTTTGTGCAGTACAGAGGTCTTGATGCTGCTCGTGCCAATTCCATATTAGCACAGCTATAAGGATTTCTCTGCATTTGCTGCTGACTTACAGAGATGCAAGGCAGAAAAAAATCAGACCCAGTTGCAATCTTTCCCCCTTCATCATCCTCTTCATATTCAAGCTCTTTTTTTTTTTCTTCTAAGTTCCTATTATTAACACAGGTGAAAAAAAAAAGAAAAAAAAGAATCCCTGGGATCCCTGGTGCATCCTTGGAGTGGCTGCAGCCTCATCATGGATGACTAGACAACCGCCACTGTGCCACATAATGAGGAGCACACATGCTGCACCGGGAGATACTAATGAGGGAGCTACAGCCCCCTTAGCCCTCTCCAGTAAATCCGTGTCTGCAAGCCATGTTTTATTTATCAGGCTTATTATGGCAGCACTAAGGAGCCATTTGAAAAGGGCCGCTGCTGTCCTGGGCACTGCACACTGCAGTGCCTGCTCAGACCAGCTTCCAGGGAAGATGGATGAGCCTGGCAAGAGACAGGGGACAGGGATGCTACGCACACACCATGCAAACAATCTGTGGCAGCATTTATCCCACCAGCTCCTTGAAGAAGGAAGAGGATTCAGCCTGTTTTGACCTCACAGCACTAGCTAGATGATCCCAGGCCCTGAAAGCACACAGCAACTGGCAAACAGATTGAAGCTGTGCATGTAGTAATTTCCAGGAAAGCTGAGGAAGCAAGGACTTGACAGACCTGGAGAGACCTGGGTGCAAACTGCAGGCAGGCAACTCAGAGGGGCTTTGCAGGAGCTCAGCTGCCTGGGACAGCTGCTTACCTGCCCAGCACTGCTCGCTGATCCCACTGCCAGCAGAGCTCCTGCTGGATCCCACACCTTTCACCACGCACTGCTGCTCTGTGCCAGGATGTGAGGATGCAAAGCTCTTGTGCTGCTCCTGGCAGTGTGTGGGCTCGTGCAGATCTGTGTGTCTGCCAGAGGGAAAGGGGATTTACTATCACCACTGTCATCTCCAAACATCTTCATGACCCCTCTGCACATCCTCACAGAGGCTTCTGTGCACTTCAGAGAATCACTCCACTCGCAGAGGACCAACAGAAAGAGGAGTAAAAGGCAGCTAAGTGAAAGGTAGGAGAGAGATGAGTAAATCTTTGCAAAACTTACACTGCAGGTCTCAGCAGGGCTCAGACAAATTGGTCTGCATTCCTTTAATATATTAGATTTCTACTTACCCTGTTCATTAGCATGTTAAGCTACAAGGGCTGATTATATGAACCTCATGGAGAGGCATCAATTAAGATGATAAATTTACATACATTCCTTCTGGATGAGAAATGACGGGTTTCCCCGGTTCAGTGTTTCGTACAACTGGACTCGCTTTCAGAAAGAGAAAGAAGTGTTAAATGCGTGCATCTGTACTGCTTCCCAAAATGATGGGAGCAGTTCACAAGTTTGAGCAAAAATGTATGTCAGATAGGAATAGAAGGAAACAACTCACAGTTTCCAAGGCTGAACTCTAATCTGCCATGTCACATTGACAACAGATTATGAGAGGAAGTGAAATTCCCAGGAGATGCTGCCCTTACAAGGCTGGCCCAAATGGCGCTCCCAGCCTGAAGAATGCAACACTAAATATTTGCACATATTTATCACTTCTTGCCCGCACAAGATCTCATCTTATTTTGCAAACACTGTGCAGCAGAACAACTTCATAGCCACCAAAGTGTAGCCATTTCTGGTCTGCAGCGTGCCAGTGGCACCTCTTTCATGCCAGCACGTGTCTTGGGAAAACTGTGAACAAAGACGGTTTGTTATCCTGTTGCCACTGAACAGAGAAATTAGATAGGCCTTGCAAATGGTATGAAAACCCACGCAAGCTGACAGAATCATCTGTCTTTACTTGAAAAACACTGCACAGCTGCTAATGTTGCCAGAGGAGACAGGCCAGTAGCAGCTCTGTTCCTACAGCTAACCTTTGTGGTGCTAACCTCAGTGTTCCTGGGGCTAAAGACTGGTTTACAGCTAAGTCAAACAGTTAATGCCATTAATAGCTCAGGAACAGCTAAACAGTAACAGCCATAGCTCATCCCTGTTCTTCTTCAGGAAGAAAAAAGCAAGCAGGCTCTTGTCCAGAAAGGGCTGAACACCACCAGCCCTCATTAATTTCAGAGAAAATTAAAGGTTTTTAGCTAACACAGTAACTTTTATGTGACTCATGCTTTCCTGAAGAGTGGAAACAAGTTTATTTGAGCAGAAAGGTGTTTTCACCTCACACTTCTGGGCTTGTACATCAGGAGTGCTGAGGTGCTGGATAAAGATTACCATTGCATGTTGTCATATGGGTCTCCTTATCCAGGACCATGCTGGGCAAAGGTACACATTTACACTTTCTTGGACTGCCAGATAGCGAACGTGCAAACTTCCTCATGGCTCAGGGCATGATAAGGGGTTTCCATCCCCTTCCAGGGCCTGCACAGCCACGATAACCAGTTCATTCTGAAGAGGACATATTTCAAACAAATGCCGCTTGCATATAAAAGTTTTTGTCTTAAATGAGATGATCTTTTCCTCAAGAGGAGTGGAAAAAGTGCCATTTCTTTTTCTCTCATGTGCACAGCCATGTCAATTACATACCACTAGAGTAAGGAATATGTGCTCCTTAATTTTGTTTGAACCTAAGAGCAATCAAACCTACCCAGGCTTGTGTTCATGATGAACATTATATGTACCAGGGACATTTATGTCACATATCAAAATCAATCAGAACATAAGGAAGGTAAAAAAGTAATAATAATAAAAAGAAACCAATTCCCTTATGCTGCTAAGTTTGACTTGAATATGATCTGTTTCAGCCTAAGGAATGAGGCACACACCTCACCAAAATAAGGAAAATAAGGAAACAGGCTGGAAGCAGAATGTGTGGCTATACCTTTTGGGAAACAAACGAGATAGGTGTGAGTAAAAATTATTTCATGCGCAGGTCCTAATTCATATATTACCAACACACTGAAGACTCAGGTACTTCCCCCCCTTTGCAGCTCCAAGCTGGGTTGTTTCTGCCAACCCTTCCTCTTCCCCAGCCACTATGTTGTAACCTCAGGTAAAGACTTCAGTTTTAATTTGTTGAAATGTTTAATTGTTTTAATTTGAAAAGTTGGACAATAAACCAATTCCCCTTGTTTCTAAAGATTTATTGCTTTTTCCAATTTATTGAACGTTCAGTGCAGGCTGTATTTCAATTAAAGGCAGCAAAACTGTTAATGGTCTATTAACGACACATTGCATCTATATAAAGACGCAAATATAAGTCGTGGCCAATTTTCTGGCCCGGCGAGATAATTTCTTCTTTTCCCCGTAGCGAATTATCTGCGAACAGCTCATAATTTTATACCAGCCCATATATCTGGCTACCGCTTAACCGCAAGTATCTGCAGCGCACGAGCTGCCCGCGGTGCCATCCCTCACACAGACAGTTTGTCACTCAGGGAAGCGGCCTCCCGCCTTCGGGCCGGGGCTGGGCGGCAGCGGGGAGCGCAGAGGTTGTGGGGAGCAGGGCGGGCAGGCGCTGGGTCAGGGTGCTGGGCCCCTCTCAGGCCGGTACTCGTATTTGGCATCCCCGGCGGCGCGGGAGAGGCGGGCCGGGCGCGCCGGGTGATGCTCCCGCCGTTACCATGGCAACCAGCCCCCCCCTCCATCCCGCGCCGCTCGGCCCCACGTGACCCGCGGCGGCGCTCGCGGCCAGCCCGCCTGTTACCAGGGCGGGGGCGTGTGGGGGGGGCGCTCTTGTTTCCCATTGGCTGCTGCCGCGACTCGCTGATTGGCGGGGGCGCACGGGCCGCGCGCCGATTGGCGGGGCCCGGAGGTGAGGCTGTGGGGTGATGCCGGCCGCCCCGCGCAGCGCCGGGACACAGACAAAGGCTGCCCGGAGGCTGCCCGAGCTCCCCCCTGCGCCCCCCGGGCTGGCGCGGCGCGGGAGGCCCGCGGGCGGAGCCGCGGCTCTTGGCGCGCTGCTGGGAGGTGGCAACGCGAACCTGGCCGGGCGCCCGCAGACCCCGCGCCCTCCCCGCCCGGCCGCCCGCTCCAACTGGCGGCGGGGCACGCGGCGCGCGGGATGGGGGCGGAGCCGGTGTCACGCTCGCCGCGCGCCCGGCAGCCAATGGGCGGGCCGGGAGAACGCGGGCTGCACGCGGGGCCCGCGTGTCCCCGCGGCACGGGCTGTCAATCATCCGCCAGCCGCTCGCCCCGCCCCGCCCGCGGCTCCCCCGGCCGGCGATGGGGCAGGGCGGGCCCGCAGCGCTGCGACCCGCGCCCGGGGCCGCACCGGCGCTGGGGAGCGTTCTGCCTTGTCCCAGTGTTGGGCTGCGAGGGAGGTGCCGCCGCACTGGAAGGGCTCCCCTGGGGCTCAGCCCCCCAGTCTCTGCCGCCAGCGCCAAGCCCGCGGCCCGGCCCCCTCGGGATGCCCGCGGCGCGGGCTCTGCTCCCGGCGCCCTCCCCCGGTGGGGGGCGAGAGGCGGAGCTGGCGTGGCCGCCGCCCGCCGCCTTTATCTGGCGTGGCGGCGCGGGGGGTGGCACTGGGGAACACCTTGTTGTAAGATACGCGATATAAATTCGGCGCCGGGGATGGGAGCGCGGCCACGGGCGGCGGGGAACAGCTCCGGACCACGGTGGGTGCCTTCCCCGCGGCACGGCGGCTGGGAACCGCTGGAATTTTAATTCACCGGTGCTGGGCTGCCATCCCCTCGGCCACCCCCACACCTGGTTTGCGGGGAGAGTTCTGCGTTTTGCCGCCTTTCGTACGGAGGAGAGGCGGCAGCGAGCCCCGGCGGCTGCGGCAGGGCAGGCGGAGGAGCGGAGGGTGAGAGAACGGACGGGGAGGGGAAGGCTGAAGGAAGGACGCGGGGCTGGGGATAAAGGCGGCGGGGGAGGAGGAGAAGACGCTGGCGGGAGGGGACGGGAAGGCGGGCTGGGGGAGGGAGGAGGGAGAGCAGCCTCTAACCCCGGCGTCTCCGCCGCCGCCTCCCAGCAGGACTCTGATCGCGAGCAGCCGCTGAGCCCAGCCCGCCAAGGAGGGCGGCCGGTGCCGCTAGCGCGGAGGAGGAGGAGGAAGGGGAAGAGTTCGCCGCCGGAGGAGCCCCGCGGTCCGGTCCGAGCCGCGTCGCTGAGCACTCCTGCCCGGCCGCCAGCATGATGCAGATCTGCGACTCGTACAGCCAGAAGTACTCCCTTTTCAACGCCATGAACCGCTTCATCGGCGCCGTCAACAACATGGACCAGACGGTGATGGTGCCGAGCCTGCTGCGCGACGTGCCGCTGCTGCTGGAGGAGCTGGACGCGGCGGGCGCCGTGTGCCCGCCCGGGGATGCTGCCCTGCCGCCCGGCGACCCCGGCGCCTACTTCTCCCGCAGGGACATGTACAGCCATTACATGCTGCTCAAGTCCATCCGCAACGACATCGAGTGGGGCGTGGTGCAGCCGCCGGCGGGCGAGGAGGCCGCCCGCAAGAAGGACAAGCTGGGCGGCGGGCCCGCCGAGGAGGGCGAGGGGGAGGAGGACCTGGAGCAGCAGTTCCACTACCACCTCAGCGGACTCCACTCGGTGCTCTCCAAGCTCACCCGCAAGGCCAACGTCCTCACCAACAGATACAAGCAGGAGATCGGCGTCAGCAGCTGGGGGCACTGAGCGCCGGGGGGAGCGGGGGAAGGGGCTCCGAGCCGGCGGGAGCGGCGCGTCCCCGCCCGGCGCTGCCGCTGCTGCGGTGCCCGAGGGCAGCGCCCCGGGCCGGGGCTTCCCTGCGCGCTCCCAGGACTGCAGCAGGTTTTCTACCAACGCACAAGCGAGAGAAAGAGATGTAAATTAATCAATACTAGTTTATTAATTATTTTGACCCCCTCCGTGGTTTTTTTTTTTTTTTTTTTTCGTTGTACGGGCCAGGGCGAGCAGTCGCTGTGCCCGCCCCGGTGGGGAGGCTGAACCCGTACGTGTACGAGGGGTGGCATTGCTGGCTGATAAGGAGGCTCCACTCAAGCCGATGAACATAAAGAAACTGGCACAGAATTGCTTCTGTCACCCCGGAGGGACCCCAGTGAGCTAAGGAGCATCCCTCTGTTGTGGGAGAGATGGCGGGTCCCATGGCTGTACATGTACTGGAGTTTATTTAAACTTTTTTACTCAGATGTAGAGTATATTCTAAAATAAATACAAATGTATTAACTAAGAGTGACCTAAACTTTTGGTATGATTTATCTTTCTTTAATTAAATGATATTTTTAACGTCTGGAATTCTTCTGTTTTTCTTCTATGTTACATTCCGACTTGCCTTACTAGATACAGAAATCTGTGTGTGCAAGAGAGGGGGTTTTGTGGCTTTGTTTTTTTCCCATCAAAGCAATTAGGCAGTGATGATAACCTGGCGTATCTAAAATGTTTGAATGACCATATTAAACTTAACCGTACATGGCTTGAGTTTTGGTAAGCTGTTCCCAGCTGCACAATGCAGTTGCTCTGTGTGAGTGTAGGCTTGAAGGTCAGTGCCTCTTTAACAAAATCTGAGAGGATCGAGTCATGGTTACTCTGCAGGCAGCGATTCATGGAAGTTGGAGCAAAGCCTAGGAATGACTCTTGCTTTTTTCGGGAAGTATCTTAATGTACTATGGGGAGCTCTTTTCTCTCCCTCTGAATAGGTCTGGCAGACTTGCCTCCCCAGTCTCTTGCATTTCTTTCTTCTAATCTTCCTTGGATACCAGGAATTAATCGGTTTTATGTTATCCAGATTGTATTGATTTCTTTCTCTCTACCTTTTTTTTTTCATTTCATGAAGTAAAGTAACTCAGAATTGAGTGTCTATATTGTGTTCTGGTATTAAAGTGCACTTGTGCTTGTGATACAATATATAACAGAGGATAAATGTTTAATAAGTATGTAAGTCCTTACATTATGTAAGTTTTCTTCTCAGGCCCTGAAATGCCAAGTTTGTAGACATACTGAGATTTCACTTTGTATTACTGTCATCAAATTTAGAGCTTGTTTGGTGGTGTTTGTTTGGGTTTTTTTTTTCTTCTAAAAATAGAAGAATTTCTCTCAACTTCAAGGATATTTTTGTTAAAATTCAGGTATTCCTTAGCACTTCGGACATTGTAGTAAAGCATGAGCACTCCAGGCATAGTACTAGTTGGCAGACGTTTGTGTAAGTTAAAACACTCAGCCTAAATCTGTGTTTAAAAATACATATTTGGGAAGGTTTTTCCCTTCTGGGGTAAAGAAGAACTTTGTAAGGCTGGGTAATTTTTAGTTTGGCGATGCTTGTTCTTTTCATAATGTTTTTAACTCCTCTTCCCCTCCTCTCTTGGGAAGCTGCCAGGAAAAAATCAGAAACAAGGAGAGGGATTACCCTGGTTTCCTAACATGTCAGCTTGCCAGTCTTTCTGCGGTCAAACTAATGCAATGCAAAAGAAGCAGTGCCCTGTGCTGGATGGTGAAGTTTTGTTCTGAAGTGAGAGGTGAGAAGGAGAACCTGTTCTGCTGTGTGGCTCCTTCTGGCCCTGCACTCCATCAGCTGGAAACCACATTACAGCCTCTGCTGGGGAGCGCCGGCGAAACCTCAGACAAAAGCAGCTCATGCAGTTTCACCCGTGAGCCTTTTGATCTCCTGGTAACTTCTCCTGGTATGGGTTTAGACAATACTGTTTAAACGTTGCACAAGAGACAATGTGATGCTGATTTAGGCTATGAGTAATGTCAGAAAAATAGTGTTAAATTAGTGCAGCACAGCCATGAGAATGGCATCCCTTCCCTTTGCATTATAGAAAAAAAGCACAAGAGGAAAGTTTTGGTGGGAGAGCAGCTGAAATGTAGCACTATGGGACAGCAAATGGTGGCATTTCCTTACAGGTAAGGCTTTGGGTGACAGGAGCAGGAGGATTCTGTGACTCAAGGGTTTGCCTTGCCTATGCTGTGACTAAGCTGGGGTTGCTGAGCTCCCATGTGGGGGCCCAGCTCTGGGCTGGCAGCAGCCCTGATAATCCCAACTCAGCCATGCAAAACCTGCTGGGAGTCACACCAGCTGAAGAGACTCCTGCCACCTCCCACTTGGGAGCTGCTGTAGAATTTCCCCTTCTCAAGGTCATGGGAGAGGATTGAGGCTCTTGGGATCAAGAAAGTGATCTCTTAATGCAGAGGGAAGACAACAGCAGGTAAAACCAGGGATGTATTTCTCATGCAAAGGACAAGGGATGGGACTGTGCTGCTGGCTGTTGTGTAAAACAACTTGGCCTAAAAGGTGGGGTGGTCAGGCAATTATGTAAATGCTGACTCCTGGCATTGCAGTAAGCGAAGATGAGATTGCAGATTTTGTATGTTAGATGCTGAATTGGGAAAAATTTCCGTCAGCAGATGGAAATACAAATATTTATAAATATTAATATTTATATATTTTATATATATAATGCATATTTATATTTATAATGTATAAAGCAATTAGGTTTATTATTAAGGAATTATGTTTCCTTTTGAGGGACTGGATCACTTTAAGTCTCACAGTTGTGTACAGAGTTCAGCAAACCTTTAGGCTGCTCTGGTAAAGTGATTCTGGTACTTGTTAATGACAAATTACATCAGTCTAATGTAAAAAGTATCTTTATGATCTCAAATACTTTGGGAAGTGACTTAATTTCTTAGTCACACCCAGGCGAAAAGACAACTTGCCAAACTACCCCAGCCGTGCTCAAAAAGGAATATGCAGAGTGAGAAGCAGTTATCATTTTTAGCTCACTTAAGTGAAATCGACTCCATTTAGAGTAAGACAGGCATCAGAAGAGCAGTAAATAATGAGATTGAGAGCTGTTTGCACTAACAAATTGATTACAGCAGAAGTTATCTTACAGCCAAGGAGCCTCAAGGACATTGTTCATGGCATGCATCGATTAATATATAAAAGTGCACAGTATCTATCATTATAGTTCATAAGTCAACTCTTGGTTTTGTGCATACAAAAGGAGGACAAATGAGGGGAAACCCATGCTTTTCTCTCTATCTTTCTCTCCATAAAAATAAAGGCATTAGGGATGGGTGTGAGTTCCATGGAAAGAACAGGAATCATGGGCTGGTCAGTGCTTGGTGGAAGCAGATTACGCTGAGTCAGGCTAGGCTGTCACCTTCCTGCTTTCCCTCTGAAAGCTCTGCCTTGCAGAAGGTTCTAACTAGATCACAATATGCATGTTTTGTGGTTTGTGTCCTTCCCCCCCTGCACGGGCTCTTGCACCAAGACAACGTGAGTCATCAGTAGATTGGCTTTGCTGAAAGATGCACTGATGTTAGTGGTCAGAGGGAAGGCTGTGTTAGGATCTTATTATCATGTACTTAAGCATCCTGTTCTACCAAGGAAAAAAAAAAACCCAACCAAAAAAACCAACCAAAAAAATCCCACAAAGGAAACAGAAAGCATCTCCTCTCTATGCCTTTGGATTTGAGCTAATCTCTTTGCAGAAGAGTCTGCAGCAATTTTCCCTCACTGATTTATTTCCCTGAAGTATTGAGTATGGGAGGAGATTGAGTGAAAGTATTGTTTTTTATTATTAATACGTTTAAACTTTTTAATGTTTTTATTATTTGTATCCAGGTAACAGCATGTTAGGTACCATATTCCAAAGAGCTCAGAGATTATAAAAACAGAATTGGATAGGAAGAGGTGTAGTTTTAACTCCCTTGCCATGGGCAGAGACACCTTCCACTAGCTCCGGTTGCTCAATGCCCATCCACTGTGGCCCTGAACACTTCCAGGGATGGGACATCCACAGCTTCTCTGGGCAACCTGTTCCAGTGCCTTGCAATGCTTAGAGTAAAAAAATTTCTTTCAATATAAACCTATTTTTTTTCAGTTTGAACCGATTTCCTCCATCCTATTTGTACATGCCCCTGTCGAAAGTCCCTCTCCAGTTTCTTGTAGCCCTCTTTAGGTTCCAGAAGGCTGCTATAAAGTCTCCCTGGAGCCTTCCCTTCTGCAGGCTGAATCCTCTCAGCCTGTCTTTTTGGGAGAGGTGCTCCAGCCCCTCTGATCATCTTTGTGGTCTCTTCTGCACTCACTCCAGCAGATCCACATCCTTCCTGTGTTGGGGACTCCAGAGCTGGATGCAGCACTGCAGGTGGGGTCTCATGAGAGCAGAGCAGAGGGGCAGAATCACCTCCCATCACCTGCATCTTGGGATGCAGCCCAGGACATATTTGGGCTGTGAGAACAAATTGCTGGATCATGTCAAGCTTTTCATCAAACAACATCCTCAAGCTGTTTTCCTCAGGGCTGTTCTCAACCTGTTCTCCACCCAGCCTCTGCCTGTGCTTGAGATTTCTCTGACCCATATGCAGGACTTTGTGCTAGACCTTGTTGAAATTCTCAGGGTTCACACATGCCCACCTCTCAACTCCCCCAGGTCCCTCTGCATGGCATCCCTTCCTTCCAGTGTGTGCACCACAGCCATTGTGCGTGTGTTTTTTATTTGCCATGTAGAATAATATTTTTTTGGCTGATTTATGTTCCACCTGGATAAAATTATTTTTTATGACGGGTTTATTTCATTTATTCCCACATCCCCAAATGGGAGGATGGGGGGAAGAAGAGAAATCTTGTAAATCACTAATAATGATGGACACAAAACTGAGGGTGGCTCAGTCCCACTGTCCCTGTCACCAACAAAGTTGTTGAACAGTGCTGGTCCCAATACTGGCCCCTGAGGAACGTCACTTGTCACTTGTCACTGCTTTGCACTTGGACATTGAATCACTGACCACAACTCTGTGAGTGCAACCAACCAGACAATTCCTTATCCATGGAGCTGCCCACCCATCAAATCCATGCCTCTCCAGTTTAGAGACAAGGATGTTGTGTGGGACAGTGTCAAATGCTTTGCACAATTTCATGCACATGACGCCAGTTGCTTCCAGAGATCTTAAGTGATAGTACACACAGGGAAAAAAGAAGAGCACCGTGGGTTATAGCCTGACACAAAATGTGAAGGAAGTGCAATTAAGGTGAGCATTGCAAAAGCATCTCCAGCTCTGTACGCGTTTTTCTGTTATTTGTAATTGTCACCCCTAAACAAGCAGAAATACCTGAATGTGTGAGTTCTAATGTTGCAATTTCTTTTCCAGACCACAGACTTGCATGACAAGTTTAGGTCAAAATTAGTTTTAAGGAATGAAGCTATAAACGCCTTTCCAAAAGGAAATTTGCAAATAGGAGTGGAATAATAGTATATCTTTTTGTTGGTAACCAGCTACCAGAATGGGCACTCTTTGTAAAAATTATTATTTTTTCACTGTTCAAACATCCTTATTTGACTTGGAGTGATAGAATGAGGAAAACACCTTCCAGTTTTTGTGCTTCTGAGTTTTGGTCTGGAAGGAATGTCACAGTAGAAGCTTAGAGAACTTACAGGGAAAGCAGGTGCCTCTGTGTTAAATCACAAAACAGTGAATGAGCTTGCCCCATATTTGTAAGGTCTGTCATAGTATCAGTTGTATCTTTTTATCATGTATATCGACATACATCTGATTATAAAATGATTCTGTCTTTTAGTTCTGGCCTGTTTTATCTTAGCAACTTTGGGATACAAACAGCAGGGTCAATATCCCACGGGCCCAGGTACACCACTTTAGACACTTCAGCTGAGTCTTTTTTAAGTGCATCTCACTTTCCCATCTGTATTTGAACTGATAAGATGGGCACATCACTTAAAGCCATGATTCAGAGTACAGCACAGGAACACAGCAGCCCCCTTGCTTTGGGATTACTTTTTGGTCTTGGTTTATGTGCTGCAGCAGGGAAACAGATGCAAGGTGAACCGTTCCTTCAGGGATTTACTACAGGTAGTACAATGTTTGGAAGGTAGAATGGCAATGGTGAGTTTTCTCACATTGTAACCAGTATATGTCCTTCCCAATTACTTTTCCCCTCTCTTTGAG